ATATTTTATAAATATTTATTTACTATAAAATTTAATTATAAGAAAATATATTATATATAATAAAAATATTTATAAATTTAGTTATACAAAATGAATAATTATTATCTGTATTGCACATAATAATATGATAGTATATAGAATAACTATCTTGGATGATAATATTTGTATGGACTATTCTTTCAATGCATTTTTTTTTGTTTAAATTGAATTTTAATATTTTAAAAGATATTAATAACTAAAAATAACATTATAGTACAAATATAAATTATTTATTATAAATTTAAAATATTAATATAATTATAGTTATATAAGATAAACATTTATAATATATATTGAATAACTAAATTACTTTATAATAAATAAATATTTTTAACATGAATTATATTTTAAATAACAAGAAATATAGTTAGATTAGTTGAATTGTGTGCGAGTTATTATAACTTTTTAGTATTGAATTTGATTCTTACATATAAAAAATATATATTTAAAATTTATTATAAATAATTTATATTTGATAAATGATACAAGTTGTGATATAAGGTTATTTTAAATTATTTGATAATTTTTTATAAAAATATGAAAATTCAAATTAAAGCTAAAGAAGAAAATGATAAAGTAAAAGATTAAACAATTAAAAATCAAATGTGATAACAACTCTTAAGAAAAAAAAAATTAAAACCACTATTATAATTCATTTTAGAAAGGATAATTATCTTAGCAATTATACTAACAATGATTTTAATTGGTCGAAAATATTAAAATTTGTTGTTACTATGCATAAAAGTTAAACTGGATATTCGTGAAAATGAACTCGATAATAAGAAATTGTGTTTATTTAAATTAGACTCTTTTGATAATTAAAATTTACGATAAATAAATATTTTTTAAATATAAATCATATTATAATTAAATTTTTTGATAAATACATATTTAATATCAAAATTTTTTTTATTTATAATAAATAATTCATATTATAAGGAAAATTTATTTTTTATTATTGATATTTGAAAAAAAGTTAAAACAAAAATAATATAAGAGATATATAAACTGTTAAGAAAAATTCTAAAACACTCTTGAAATATTCTCGTTTAAAAATAATTCTTAAAAACATTTAATGAACACACACATGTCCTCTCTTTATAAAATAAAGTATATTGATCACATCTCTTAAAAAATTAAAATATATTGATCATTGAATGAGAATGTAGTTAGGAACAATTCTTTAATTTTATTTTTAAACTAAATTTCAATAATTTTGTAAATATAAATAGTTAAAATAATTTTATATCATAATATAAATTTTTCTTTATAAACTTAAAACAAAATTTTATTGATAAAAAATTTATTTATTATAATTTTATCTATTTAAAATAAAGTTTTACATAGCTAATATGACAATGACTTCCTCTATGAAAACAATAATCCATAAACTAAAATAAAAGTTTGAGATTATAATACTACTTAAAATCTCACTAACAATTCTATCATCACTATTGTCACCACCTTATAATTGTGGTGTAGGTGATAATTATGGTGACAATGGTGTACTAACCCAATTTCGTCCGGGAAATGTCAATTTTATTTTATAAAATAACAAAAAAAGGTATGTACAAGAAAGAATAAAATAGACAAAAATATAAAAGGCAAATGTAACACCTCAATTTTCTTACTTTTGTGAAGGGTAATTTAATAATTTTCATATGTTTTTAATAGCTCAGAATGGGCTGTTCCCACAACTGGAACGGACCGTTTCCAAACTGGAACGGACCGTTCTAACCTTCTAAAAAGATCTATAATTTCTAGTCCGGAACGGGCTGTTCCAAAACTGGAATGCGTCGTTCCAACCTTCCAAAAACAACTATATATTCTAGTCCGGAACAGGCTGTTCCAAAACTGAAACGGACCGTTCCAACCTTCCAAAAACAACTATATATTCTAACCCGGAACGGGCCGTTCCTAAGCTGGAACGGGCCGTTCCAACCTTTCCAAAAAGACCTATAATTTTTAGCCTAGAACGGGTCGTTCTCAAACTAGCAAAATACCTATAAATTCTATCTTAGAACGGGTCGTTCCAAATATGGCCGTTGTGAGTAAAATTGTGACCCTGGAACAGGCCGTTCCGGATTCAGAACGGGTCGTTCCGGTCCCCCTGAAAGTCTATAAATAGCGGCCCTTGCCTTTCCAAAGGGCACCCACACACACATCTCCACCTTGGACCAGAGGGAGCTCAGAAGGAGAAACCAACAAGTTACCACTTCTTGAGCGAAGAATAGTGAGTATATCGAACTCACTTATTTATTTATTTATTTATTTTATTTATTTATTTTTATTTTATTTTTTTATTAGTAATATCTGTTATTTTAAAAAGTTTATTTATCATCTTAAAGTCTTATTTAATTTCAAAATGTGATTAAATATCAAAATATAGTGTTACAATATTTAATGTAAATATTTGAAATTATTGTATTAAATATTTTATTTGGAGGAATGGTTAATTAGATGTGACATCTTTTTAACTTTTGAATTTAAAGTACAAGTTGTGACAGCTTATCTTTAAATTTTTTCTCCAAAAACAAAAATGTCCAATCAATAAATTTTTTAATATCATAACATCACTAGTAATAATTATAATTAAAATTTTATTGAATTGACTTTAGTGTACACCTTAGTCAATTTTATATTTTTAGGGTGAATGAGCTGAGACAGTTCAAGAATCTTATATTTAACAAAAATAAAATTTAATTTAAAAATATCAACACACAAATATTTTTTATAAAGTACTACGTGACTCTGATTCTTCATTATACATGGAGATACGTAGGAGCAAGAAATAAATCTTGTCGAGCCAAAGAATAAAAATATATTATTTTCCTTTTTATATAACAATAATAATTTTAAACTTTTTATTATATACAATAATAGTTTAGTTAAATAAAATATATTTGATCATTTTAGTGAGATAATTATTTTATAAATTATAAATAATTAGTTTAATTAATTAAAGGTAATCGTCTTAAGACGAATGTTGTGAGATGCTAATACCTTCCTCACACGTAATCGACTCCCGAACTCAAAAATTTGGTTTTCGTAGATTATTTCTATTTTATGATTTTTCCAATGTTTTTCCTTAAAAACAACATTGGTGGCGACCCCTATTTTTCAATTTATTTTTCGTCGTCCCGTCGCAATCTCGGTTGCGACAGATGGCGACTCCACTGGGGATATTTTTGAGAGTCAAGCCTATAATAATTAATTAAACTAATTAATAATTTTTAAAAAAAGTTTATCTCACTTTTATTTTATTTTATTATTATTATTTTTTGTTTATGTCTCTTATTTGTTGTTTATCTTATTTGCATGAATTATATAACTGTGTTGTGTAATTTGAACCTTAGGATAGATGAATTTTATTTTTCATATCATATGTGTTGTGTTTTGTAGATTGGGTAGTGTAGGGTTGCTCCCTTCACACACTTCACTTACACAATTTCACACACGTTCATGAGTAGGGTCCTATGCCCGGACTTGAGTGTAACTTAAGATAGTAAGAGGTTGAGTAATGGTAACCTTCTTGATGTACATCTTGT